TACAAAAGTCTAAATAAATATATAAAATAACATATATACAACATAAACTCTACATTTGAGAAAACAAAAGAATAAATGATAAAAAAGGACTTGTTCACCACAAAAAAAAACACACACACACACAAAATCATCAGTGTAACACACACATAAATATTCACACACAAGATTTACCCAATCAAATAGTATGCAAGATGGACCAATTATATCCACCCAGGCTATGGGTAGGCATCAAGTGACTTGGCAGGAGTCAAGTTTTTATTTCCTTCCTCCTGTAGAGTCTCTTGATGTATATATTGTATTTATTTCTTTAGCCATCCTTGAACTCCCATTTTTTTCTGTGAGTCGGTGAGGCTGAGGTTGTTGTCATAGTTGATGCAGATGAACAGAAAACCCAATCTACCAAGCGACTCCTGTGTGGGGGTAGCGCTACGCTTATAGTAGCTCTAAACACAATCAGGAAAATGTAACAAGCTTTACCATGTTAACATAATTTCAGAGGCGTTTCCCCTCTTTTTAAATCAGTGGCTTTCATCAAAAGAATACCTGGTGATCCTAAAATGAAGGTTCATGTCCAGGTACTTCCTGCCATGGGTGGGCAACTGTGTCCCAGTTGTGCTCCTGCGTTGTCACCATGTCACATGCACCTTTGGTGGAGACTAAAAGCAGCTGTTCTGACATACATTGAGCATGTGTGGTCCACTTTTGTCACTAACATGAAACCAGTCCAGATCAATGATGTGCAGCTGACACTGGAGCATGCAGACAGGAAGTGGCGGAAAGAAGCTGTAGGAGATCAGCAGCAAAAAGAAAGGATAAAAAAAAGGGGGAAAACTGTAAAACAGTATTTTATGAAAAAGGTTGTGATAATAGTTTATGATGAAAGGTGCTTTAGCAAAATAAACGTCATCATGATGAGGGGTTAGATCTAATTTAAGTCTACAAAACTAACTGACATCTGAATGAGTAATAAATATTGTTTCAGGGTAGTTACTGTTTTCACATATAATTTATATTTCATACTACAGGATACATGGTTTGATTCATAATCTGTCTATATATGCCTGAAGGATCCAATCCTTAATTCCCTAATCCCAGTATCACAACTAAGTCCACTCTGCTTTCATGACATCTGAAAGGATTATATCCTGAAATAAAGCATTCATTTGCAGTTTCAGTTTCTCATAGGGATCAGTCCAAGTGCAGCTTTAATAGATCACACTCATCCCCTTGGTACAAATGTTAATACCTTTGAGTGTCATGTGTAACCAATGATGAACAAGACGTATGGGAATACAGCTTCTGGCAATCATTCTTATGTATGTTTCATTTTCTAGCCTGTACTAAATATGTTCAATAGGTAAAAGCTTTCTTGCATGTTTTATGCATGCTGTCCATACAGGTACGGTGCTGATATAAGGCAGAGTGGAAATATTGTCCCCTGTGCTCACTAGAGGAGGCCTAAAAGGATCTCTCCTGTGGCTTACAGCTCCCTCCCTCTAGTATGGGCTGTGTAACAGGGCATAGATATGGATAATTAAATTCTTTCCACCCATGTAACACATATGTGTGGCAGCAAAGAGGGTGGGCTTTAATGGCCACACACTGCACATATGCATCCATGGGTGGCAGGGCCATCTTTTCTGGGAGTGCGCTCACTGCACACTCCCTGTCCAACAAATGAGTTGTCAAAAACAGCTCTTGGCCTGTGCTACTGATTGGTAACCAGCAGGACTGACTCCCAATCATGTGACCACTGTGACAGCCAACCACAATTGTCAGCCAAGCCTTCTCGCCCTCCGGCATAAAGACCCCATTAAATGGGTTAAAGTGAAACTCCATTTTTGTTTGACAAAAAAATCTCTCCTGGTCAATTATATACATTGCAGTGATTTGATCTGACTTCCTAGCTATTTATACAAACATGTGGGATTCCACTCATTCCTACTTCCTTAGGGCATTCCTATTCCGGAGTGGTGAATGCAAGGGCCTGCCTGCTATGGTCACATGAACACTCTCAATGTTGTATAAGTACAGTAGGGAGCCAATTACATGAAAAGGATAACCCTTTCCTGAGGGAGTAAATACCCTCCATGTTTTTAAGGTTGCCATGGGTCCAAGGAAGCCATATTTGAATCCTTTGCTATCTGTAGGGCCTGTGTCAACAGGTTTTGATGGCCAACTGCAGTTCCTGAATCAGGTGCAGGTGCAGTTAGCTTGCATTTCATTTGCTTCTGCTACTATTCCATATCCATATATTTGTATGGGGAGAGTTGAAGTACTGAGGGGACCAAAAGTCCATCAACGCCTACCCTTAGAAATCAGACCTCAACTGAACTGAAAACAAATCCAAAAAAAAATCCAATTACAATAATATAAATTTCAGAATTACGTCTCTATAACTGACTTTTAGGATAATATTTTTTTATTATACAGAATTTATATAGTGCCAACAGTTTGTGCAAGTGCTTAACAAAATGAAGGTAGACATTACAGTTTCAATACAATTTGGTACAAGAGGAAACAGAGGGCCCTGCTCCTTAGAGCTTACAATCTAGGAGGAAGGGTTGAGTGATACAAAAGGTAATAGTTGTAGGGGGATGAGCTGATGGAGGAAATAAATGGTGGTTTACTAGATAGAAGCAGGATAGACTTCTTTAAAGAGAAAGGTTTTCAGGGATTGTCTAAAGGTGGATAGATTAGGAGACAGCCAGACAGATTGGGGTAGGGAGTTCCATAGGATGGGAGAAGCTCGGGAGAAGTCCTGGAGGCAAACATGGGAGGTGGTGACACAGGAACTAGAGAGCAGAAGGTCTTGGGAGGATCAAAGAGAGAGGTTTGGTTGATATTTTGAGACCAGGTTGGTGATGTAGCTGGGGGCAGAGTTGTGGATGGCTTTGTCAGTTGTTAGTATTTTTAATTTTATTCATTGGGCGAGTGGAAGCCAGTGGAGGGATTGGCAGAGAGGGGTAGCAGACACTGAATGGTTGGTAAGGTGGATGAGCCTGGCAGCAGTAGTCATGATGGACTGGAGGGGGGATAGCCTATGTAAAGGTAAGCCAATGAGAGGGAGTTGCAGTAGTCGAGTCGAGAGATAACCAGGGAGTGAATTAAGAGCTTTGTGGTATTATTGGTTAAAAAGGGGCATATTCTGGAGATGTTGCAATTGTTGAGGCAGCATGATTTGGACAGGGATTGGATGTGGGCCTGAAAGGATAGTTCAGAATCCAGGGTTACTCCTAGCACCCTGGCATGCAGGGATGGGTTGATAGTGGGTTGATAGTGGAGCTATTGATCCTGACCAAGAAATCAGGGGAAGAGGCACGGGGGAGGAAATATTATGAGCTCAGTTTTGGATAGATTGAGTTTTAGGAAGTGGAGTGACATCCAGTCTGATATGTCTGTGAGGAAACTGATGGGGTGAGCTGAGGAGTAGAGAGATAGATTTGTGTGTCATCAGCATAGAAATGGTATTGGAATCCATGGGAAGCTGACCCAAGGAAGAAGTATAGATTGAGAATAGGAGAGGTCCAAGGACAGAACCTTGGGGGACCTTGACAGTAAGAGGAGTAGGACAGGAGGAAGTAGAGTTGTAAGTGACACTGAAGGTGCGGTGAGATAGGTAAGATTCTAACCAACGGAGAGTACAGTCATGGAGACCCAGTAAATAGAGGTTTTTGAGGAGGCAGGGGTGGTAAACTGTGTCAAAGGCAGCGAAGAGGTCCAAGAGCAAGAGTACGGAATAGTGACCATTGGTTTTAGCGGTTGGTAAGTCATTTTAGGAGAGCAGTTTCTGTGGAGTGTTGTGGGCAAAATACAGACTGAAGGGGATCAAGAAGGTTATTTTCAATAAAGTGGCAGATCAGCTGGTTGTTGACTAGACGTTCAAGGAGTTTGGAGCAAAAGGGAGTAAGGAGAGATTGCTAAGATTGGCGGGGTCCAGTGTGGCTTTTTTAAGTATGGGGGTGACTAGAGCATGTTTTAGAGAGTTGGGGAAGATGCCAGTAGAAAGGTATAGATTGAAGATATGAGTTAAAGAATGAAGGATAGAGCCAGAGGGTGACCATAGTATTTTCAAGGGAACAGAGTCCAGGGGGCAGGTGGTTAGGTGGGCTTTAGAAAACAGTTTACCAACCTCCTCTATAGTATCTGGGTTAAACAAGGGAAGTATAGATTATGCAGGTGGACAAGGAGTGTAGGATGAGGGAAATATCTGTACAGTGGAGATCTCATCACGAATTGTATCAATCTTATTTTTAAAGTGATTAGCAATCTCCTGAGCAGAGAGTTAGTTAGTATGTGGAGGTAAATAAAGATGAAGTAGAGAGTTAAAGGTAGAAAAGAGTTGACGGGGATAATAGGGTCCATCATATTAATTAGAATAGGTACCTAGCAAGGATCTACAGTATCTGCCCTGTGAAAATATGGTTGCTTCAGTTAAATTTGTGCAGTCATCCAAAAAATAAGTTCCCCAAAAATAACAATATTATTGTTCTCTTGCTTCTTAAGCTAGGTTTACTTTAAAAGGTATTTTAAACACCTTGCTGGATTCTGACCCAAGACTATTGTGAAATTTTCCCCAACTTCAAAGCATTAGAGATTTACTGTTAATATTATTAGTCACTTCCCAGCACATTCCTGTGTCAGAATTTCTGTGGTATCATCAAGGTTGTTATTGTGCTTCATCACATCAATGTTTTTTTCACTTGTGAGACTAATAATGTGCATATTGGTTAGTGTATATTTAGGTGTAGGAGGACCATCAGGACCATTGAAGACCTGTACACAAACATTGTGCAGAAAGAGAAATAAACAACTTTAACCACTTGTCTACCGGGCACTTTCATCCCCTTCCTGCCCAGGCCAATTTTTCGGCTTTCAGCGATGTCACACTTTGAATGACAATTGCGCAGTCATGCAACACTGTACCCGTATGACATTTTTATCATTTTTTTGAGACAGATAGAGCTTTCTTTTGGTGGTATTTAATCACCTCTGGGTTTTTATTCTTTGCTAAAAAAAAACAAAAACAACTGAAAATTTTTTTTTTAAAAAAGTTTTTTTCTTAGTTACTGTTATAAAATTGTGTAAATAAGTGATTTTTCTCCTTCACTGATGTGCGCTAATGAGGCTGCAGTGATGGGCACTGATAGGCTGCACTGATGGGCACTGATAGGCGGCACTGATGGGCACTGATGAGGAGGCACGGTAGGTAGCACTGATGGGCATTGACAGGCATCACTGATGGGCACTGAAAGGCAGCACTCATATATGTCACTGAAAGGTGGCACTGATAGGCGGCACTGATAGGCGGCACTGACTGGCACTTATAAGCGGCACTGACTGGCAGTGTTAGGCGGCACTGATAGGCAGCACTGACGGGCACTAATGGGCGGTACTGTTGCACACTGATAGGTGGCACTGACTGGCAGCATGATAGGCAGCACTGACTGGCACTGATAGGTGGCACTGAAAGGTAGCTCAGATGGGCACTGTTATGTGGCATTGATGTGCACTGGTAGGAACTGATATGTGGCATTGATATGTGATATGTGGCACTGACAGGTGGCATTGATGGACACTGACAGATGGCACTCATGGGGCTACACTGATCACCAGGGAACACTGATCATCAGTGCCCTGATGATCAGTGTACATGTCCCCTCTGAGTAATGCCGATTACAGGCTCTCCTCGCGAGCTGTCAGCGTGACAGCTTCTGAGGAGAAAAATGCCGATAACCGGCATTTCCTTATTTACATGTGATCAGCTGTGATTGGACACAGCTGATCACATGACAGAGCCGACGTCTTCATCTCTTTCCATTGATCGGTGATCCACTGTATCCCAGGGACACAGCACACCACCGATCACAGTGCGGTTAGAGTGGGAGGACGCCATATGACGTCCTCCCAGAACGAGAGAACCACCTTGCGCCCCTCATTACCTTATATGGCAGGCAGGAGGTGGTTAAAGAAGCTTCTTTAACCACTTCCCCTCCTCTCGGTGGGTGGACTTTAATGCCAAGCAGCTGCATATACTCTTAGATTGTGAGCTCCAAGGAGCAGGGCCCTCCTAACCAGGGGAGGACTGACAACTCATGGGGCCCCTGGGCAATAGGGGATCATGGGGCCCCTGTGTCCTCACCCAAACTCAAAAAAGCCTATGAAAAAGGTACCAGGGGCATCTCATGGGGCCCTATACTGACCCCGGGTCCTCAGGCAGTGCCAGAGTTTCTAAATGGTCAGTCCGCCCCTGCTCCTTTCCCTCTTGTATTGAACTGTATTGTTGCTGTATTGTCTCCCGTTATATTGTAAAGTGCTGAGCAAACTGTTGGCGCTATATATAAATCCTTTATAATAAAAATAATACACTGTATGTGGCCACAGATAAACACTTTATTGTGTTGAGTGCATGCTCCCAGTGCAGTATCAAACAGGTACCGGAAAGCTCCCAATGCCTACTTGCGATTGGGAGATTTCCAATCATGTGACCACTGTAAATGCCAATTACAGCGGTCACATGATCAGAATGTCCCCCTTCACCTCCAGACATTTAGATCTTCTTAAAGGGCCGGGAGGCAGTGTCAGGAAGGGGTTAAAGGGAGGGGTTTATGAATGCAGCCACAACACTTGTGTAGCACTTACCCCAAAGGAGATACTGATGTATATGTGCTCTGTTTCTAGATGACAATGACGCCACCAGCAATGCCACACATGCTGACATTGCACTCCAGAGGCAGCTGACAGACAGTAAGGAAGCAATGCGATGCCTCCTTACCACCTGTTTTAACCTAATTTTTGTTGACAATCGCAGCAATTTGAGTCTCTTCTCTATTAACTTGCATGTGTAGCTTGCCGCTCTCCAAACAATCCATGTCAGGTCAACACTGCTGCGACCGCGAAGAGAAGCATCATGGCCATGGCATTAAAACATCCCCATCCTCTGTCTATTGCAGCTTAAGCATTAACTGCACTTTTTGGCCACCCTCCAACTACTAGTTTAAATGAGGCCTAAGGCTGAAGAAGAAGGATTAATTTCGGGTACACACCCAACAAATAAACAACAGCAAATAAAATGGCAACATAGTTCCATAGTTCCATAGTTAGTCCAGTTGAAAAAAAGACACGTGTCTATCTAGTTCAACCACTAAAAGGGGAAACAAAAATATATACAATCTTATATACACAATCCTATACCCACAGTTGATCCAGAGGAAGGAAAAACCCCCAATAAAGCATGATCCAATTTGCTCCAGCAGGAGAAAAATAATTCTTTCCTGATCCAACTAAGAGGCAATCGGATATTCCCTGGATCAAATTTACCTATAAATATTAGTTTCCAATTATATTCTGTGTATCTAAGAAAGAATCCAGGCCTTTTTTAAAACAATCCACTAAGCTGGCCAGAACCATCTCTTGAGGGAGTCTATTCCACATTTTCACAGCTCTCACTGTGAAGAAACCTTTCCATGTTTGGAGATTAAATTTCTTTTCCTCCAGATGTAAAGAGCGCCCCCTTGTCCTCTGTGATGACCTCAGGGTGAATAGCTCTACACCGAGTTCACTATATGAACCACTGATGTATTTATACATGTTGATCATATCCCCCCTTAATCTCCTCTTCTCAAGAGGGAATAAATTCAATTCCTCTAATCCTTCCTCATAGCTGAGCTCCTCCATGCCTCTTATCAGTTTGACTGCCCTTCTCTACACTTTCTCCAGTTCCCCATTATCCTTTTTGGCAATAGCAATGAACAATTCCAAGAAACAAAGAGATTTGTACAATGCAAAAAAACAAAGAGAGGACCAAGTAATCCTGTACCTGAATCCTAAAACGAGAGGAGTCCTAACTAAAGGTGATACTGGAAGCTAAAAGGTCCTTGAGTCTCTCCAAAACCCTTCCAATTGACCAATGCGGTACTAAATGTTGGGGCTCGGTGTCCTGGGTTAGAGCACTTTATATTTGTATTCCACAGTAAAGGCTGTAAATCCCCATACCAAGTTCCTTGTTAGGGTGGAGACACTGTTCAGTCTTATGTGAAGTCTGCTCCTGCTCTCTGATGACTGGAACCCTATGATCTTGGCAGCGACTCTGGACTTTGTAGTAGCAGTCTCTCATGATAACAGTGATTCCCCTTTCCTCCAGTCCACTGGATCCTACAGCCTTTGTGTGAATCCCCCTCTGACACCATGATGAGCTCTGGCAACAGTAGTGTTTTCGACTCAGTAGCACCCTCCAACAGTCACATCTCACTCCCCACACGAGACTGCCCCAATCCCTGGCTTCTTCCTTTTTCTACTTTCAGCAGCACATCATCCTCTTAGGACTTATAGTCCTATATGCAATAGTTCTTCATTTAAAGTGGTTGTAAACCCCTACATATAGCTACTGTAGTGGAGTGACTGGCCTCAGGTAATACACAGAGAGTAAACAAATCCTCTGGCAGAAGTTGTACCTGTTTATCTACAGTGTTCTCTTCTCTACAGCTGTTCAAAGTGCAGAATTTGCAGAGTGAGATCACCTTGAGAGCTGTCACATCCAGGTCCAGGTGACTAACAGCGCTGCGGCTAGGGCAAGGGCCACACTTGCAATGTAAAAGGGTGCTGTTGGAGGACACTGATGTAACTGAGAGTACTGACTTTAGGATTAGCAGGAATGACATTGGATCTGAAAGAAATTGGAATCTCTGAAACCAGCAGAATTAACGGAAAATGCAGTGTTAAAGAGGCACTTTCACTTTTCCCATTTATTGACTCCTTTGCCACCTCCCAGCTCCATCAGAGCCATCTCCCAGTTGCTCTAATAAAGAAGGACATCCAAGTATGAGGTAGCATATGACATTCCCCATGTGACAGTTCTCAGGCCTGAGGGGCTAGTTACGAGGTCCAAACACTGTTACATGTGGGGGTCAGTAATGTGAATAGCTATGGTTGAGGCCACACATGTTTTATGTGAGCAGTTCTTGGATTTATTAAAGCATCTCAACTTATTGCTACATGCAGGACTTTTGCTCTTTAGGAGAATGATTTTATGGATGGTAAACTTCATCTAGATTCAAGACATGACTTAATCTGTCTCCTTCCTGGCTCTCATGCAGACCCCAGTGCTTGCCTGACTGCTAACTATCCAGAATGCAAAAAAATTATCCAATGCAAAACCAAAAAGATATTATTATCAAATTTTCAAACTACCCAGAAATCCTCACAGAATGGATTGTGCCTTGATTATTGCTTAACGTTAATGTTTAATAAAAGAGCTTACTGGTTTCAGAGACCTGCATTGGACTGTTTGTTTTGTGTCCTTCAGCTGAGGTTGCAAGGAGATTAAAGATTCAGGTACACTTAGGGGTGTATTTATAAAAAAAAAATACATATCAATTCACAAAGTGAAAATTTTGTGCAAATGTGGCATAGACTAATGTTAGGCTAGTTCCTTTGCTGGACTCCGAAGTGGAATTCGAGTCGAATATCGGAAAAATTTCGATTCGTGCCGAATCCGAAAAACAGCCTAATTCGGACGCGCGAATCGAAATTTTTCCGAAAATGGCGGCTGACATGTGCGGCGACGGAGCGGGGATGTCGGGGAAGGCGCGCAGACAAGGCGCGCTGCCCCATAATGCATTCCTCAACGACATGTGATCGCATCAGCCAATCAGCAGCCAGCCAGCCAGCACTGTGTAATGGTCGAGGTATATATAGCGGCCATTTTGGAAATCTTCATTTGCCTGCAGTCATTGAACAGAGGCAGACCGCTCTGTACTAGGGACAGGGACAGAGTTAGGGCCACAGAAACGAGAATTGGGGACAGAGAGAAGTTACTTAGGGACAGAGAACCATTACTCAGGGACACAGACTTGTTAATGAGGGCCACAGAATCGTTATTTAGGGACAAAGAAACGCTAGTTAGGGCCACAGAATTCATACTCAGGGACAGACAGAATTGTTACTCAGTGCCAGAGAATTGTTACTTAGGGCCACAGAAACGTTATTAGGGCCACAGAATTTTTACTCAGGGACAGACAGAATTGTTACTGAGTGCCAGAGAATTGTTACTCAGGGACAGACAGAATTGTTACTGAGTGCCAGAGAATTCTTACTCAGGGCCACAGAATTCATACTCTCAGGGACAGACAGAATTGTTACTCAGGGACAGACCAGAATTGTTACTGATACTCAGGGACAGACAGAATTGTTACTGAGTGCCAGGGACAGAGAATTGTTACTGAGTGCTCAGAATTGTTACTCAGGGAGACACAGAATTGTTACTCAGGGACAGAGAATTGTTACTCAGGGACAGACAGAATTGTTACTGAGTGCCAGAGAATTGTTACTCAGGGACAGACAGAATTGTTACTGAGTGCCAGAGAATTGTTACTCAGGGACAGACAGAATTGTTACTGAGTGCCAGAGAATTGTTACTCAGGGACAGACAGAATTGTTACTGAGTGCCAGAGAATTGTTACTCAGGGACAGACAGAATTGTTACTGAGTGCCAGAGAATTGTTACTCGCACACAGACACAAAATTGTTACTTGCACAGACACAGAATTGTTACTCGCACAGACACAGAATTGTTACTCAGGGCCACAGAATTCATACTCAGGGACAGACAGAATTGTTACTGAGTGCCAGAGAATTGTTACTCAGGGACAGACAGAATTGTTACTGAGTGCCAGAGAATTGTTACTCAGGGACAGACAGAATTGTTACTGAGTGCCAGAGAATTGTTACTCGCACAGACACAAAATTGTTACTTGCACAGACACAGAATTGTTACTCGCACAGACACAGAATTGTTAC